TCCAGAGTTCAATCCCCAGTACCAAAAAAAAAAAAAAAAAATCATTGCCTGTTATATTTGAGAATTTGGAGAGACGATGTTCTTACCTCAGTCTTTATCATGGTTCTTACTTGATTCTAACTCCTCTCACTAATGAAATTATGCTTATTGAAGATCTGTTTGTTTATAAAGGCCAATATAGTGGATTAATGAAACTTAAACCAGAAAGCACGTCCAGTTTCACATGAGAAATAGGAGACTGATTGTTATCTAAGGACAGATGATATTTATAGGAAAGAATGAAGCAATGGAGATTGATTCATTTTTAGGAAGCCTGAATAGTGTTTCCTGAATCACCTCATTTCTACCCCCTTGAATATGTGGCTCCTACACATAGCCATTTCTGTCATGAAACATTTAATCTACAGCATGATTTGCTTTGTTTTCAAAGCGCTGAACTATATCTTCTGTGGATTATATTATCCTACATCCAAATTTATTAGTTCTCCCACAGTAATTCTAATTTGTAGTTGATTCCTCTTCAAAAATATTTCATCTCTTCTCAACTGACAATGACCCTTCCCCTCTCTATTTTTCATCTTCTGTCTTTATCTGTTTTTCTGCTTCTCACATGCACAAACACCATCCATCAACCCCACAGTCCCAGTGTTATTTTGCATCTGGGTCACAGCTCTTAACATTAGAATGTTAGATGAAATCAGCCACAAACATATATGTCACAGTAAAATATATGATCAGACACCATTAAATGTACCTTCTTATATGGAGGATTGATGGATTTACATGCTTTATACTATTTTGCTTAAGGAAAGACATTTTCAGAGTTGATTAAAATATAGTTATTTTTCTTCAATGAAGTCCATTCTACAAAATTAATAATGAAGTCACATAAAAATAAATTCTATAGAGTGTTTCATTGAGAAATAGATATATTAAGAAAGCTTTTCTTAGTATTTCTAACAAATGATGGTGAGGATGTAGAGAAAAGGGAACACTTGGACAATTTTGATGGGAATCTGAATTAGTTCTGTCTTATGGAAAACAGGATGCAGGGTTCTCAAGAAATTTTTTAAAAACTATCATATACCAGCAATTACACTACTGAGTTTGTATCCAAAGGCACTGAAATCAGTGTGTTACAGAAATAGTTACACTCCCATGTCTATTGTGCCACCATTCACAATAGCCAAAAAATGGAAACAACCTAAATGTTTATCAATTGATAAATATGTAAAGAAAATGTGGTACTTATACACAATGAGATAGCATTCAGTCATAAACTGAATTAAATCTTGTCATTTGTGACAAACATGAGAGCCATTATAAGAGCAATAAACCAGGCACAGAAAGAATTATTTTAGAAAGACAAACATTGATCTCTCACTCATATATGGAACTGAAAAATACCATTCTCATAGAAGTTAAGAGTATGATTGTGATTACCAGAAGGTGAGGACTAGGAAGAATATCAGGAAGGGGGGTTGAGGAGACGCTAATCAATGGGTACTAAGTAACAAATAGGAGAAAGAATTCCGGTGTGCTATTGCACAGTATGTTCACTATCATGACAACTATGTAGTGTATATTTCAAAAAGCTAAAAGAACAGATTTTGAAAGTTTTTAGTCTAAAGAAATAGTAAAGGTTTGAGGAGATATATATGCTTATCCTTATTTGAACATTATGCAATGTATATACATCTGAGACATCAGATGACAATTAATAAGCACAGTTCTTATTTTTATATATCAGTTAAATCAATCAATAAAAAGAAAAGTATTGCATGATGAATTCCAAGTTATTCAGTTTCTCAAATCTATAACTGTTTTGATATATGACATATACTTCTATTATTATATGGCAAAGTATCACTACAGAGAAATGGCTAGACTCTTTCACTTACTTCAGTTTCATCAATTTTTCTTTCTGTGGACTTTCACAAATCTGGCTCATTATAAAGAAGACATGCAAAGTATTTTGATAGATAGAAATTTAGCCTATGACACGACATAATATTTTCTACCTGTTTAAAATTTCTTTTGTCTCTGGCTTTAGCCAATTTATCTTGAAATAGAATCATTTTCCCCAGACCTATAATTAGAGAAATAATAATAAATATCATTCAGTAACAGATAATTGGAGGCCTTTTTTATAATACAAAATGCTAGTTGTAGTATGATTATTTCCATTCATTATATATGTGCTACCTAGTTATTTAGTAACAGCCGTACAATGAAACTCTTGTTCCATTGGTAGGTGAAAGTAGTACTATGATCTCAACCATAACACTATCAGGAAAATAATGTTTTGGTCCTGTTTGGTATTTTTGTTACAATAATCCTCAGAAGAATCAAGTAAGATTTTAATGTCAGTTTTGTTTATAGACCATAAATTTTAAAATTTTCAGTTTTCTGCAATCTGATTGGCTGAATTTATCCTTTTTCCACCCAGACTACAGCAGTTGTACACAGTGGAAAATAGAAATGGCTAATGAATCATACTTAGGGACATAAAAAAGGTCAAATTTATACTGTTTATTATCTTCTGAGAATATATAGGACATTAAAATTCTGATGCTACAGTCTTGTGACAAAGAATGTAATGAGAACTGTAAATAATAAACAGTAAGACATGAATCTTCTTGTGACAGGGGTTATAACAGAGAAGAGGAAATACTTAAACTACTCCAATTATGATCAGAAGAAAAGACTACTTTATTGATGTTTATCTTTCTTTTCTTCTGTGTTCATGAGCCATTTAAGAAAATAAAGAGAAAACATCTATGTTCAAGATGGTTGAATATATTACTTTATGAGCATTTTCTGAAATGAACATTATGATATAGGACTAATATTGGTTCAAATTCCACCAGAATAATTTGAAAATAGAAATTCTAAAGCCAAACATTGGTTTAAAACAGATGGCTGGCTGTCATTGAGGACACTGGCATGTATGACAGAAAAGTAATACACTATTTCCATATAGAAGTCATTATTAAACAAAAATATTTTCATCAGGATCCCCAATCTTATTTGATACACACGTTCATTGAAACCTTTTATACAGACACAAAGCTCTAAGTAAACTGAACAAAACATATTTGTCCTATATCAAAAGGTAAAAATAAAATGTCAAAGCCTAAATTTGCTAATAGTTTTACTTTGTTGCTTACTATAGGTTTTCAGTGTTTTGAAATGGCATAGAAAATTATAAACCCACACAGGGTGTTAGGAAAAAGTTCAGAAGGTTGAAAAGGAGCAGACTGTATTGGTGGCACATTCTTGTTATAGTGAATTTGTAATGGATTTCTGTAATTGCAAGAAAAGTCTTTTAAGCATTTGTTTCAGTTACTTTCTTTGTGAAAGGAAGAAAATCCTGTCTTACTGTCACTTACCACACCTTTTGCCAATTTCTGCAGATGCAGCACTGCCATTGACACAATTTGATTTCTTGTCAAAATATCTTTTAACATCTGGCTCAAAAGGTATTTTTATGACTATAAGCAGGCACAACTCCTCTGTTCATTAAGGCTGAAAATTCAGTAAGTGTTTGGTATGCTGGGACTAAACTACCTCGTAGCTAGCAGCTGTCAAATTATTTGCTGAATTCTCCTGCTCAACTCCCCACAGTGAATTGATGGAATCCTGCCAGCTTCTGGACATACACAGAGTGAGGGGAATTTTATCGAGCACTATCCAGATGGTCATGCTAAGCCTCACACCACTACCTGTATATTTAGAATGACCTATTATGAAATGAATGGAGAACAAAATACTTTAGGAATTCGTGTGTCCTTGTGGCAGTAGCAAAGAGTCCGTTACTGGGGCTAAAAATATATTCATGATTTTGCTTAAAAGGTAGGTGTCTTTTGGATCTGTAGTTTTTGTCAGCTTCTAGCTTACTGTTATATCACCAACACCATTACAACTGGATGTAAAAAATGTTTATTTGAAGAACTGTCTTCTGAAGATGTTTCTAATTTAGTGGTTGTTATGTACACTGGCACTGTGTTTTAAAACACTTTCCTATATAATGAATTAGGTCATACAGCAGTGAAAATTTCTATCCTTCCATCATTGATGTTCTGGCCATAGCTTTGTCACTAGAATTTGTGAAATCCTCACCTGGGCAGTTTCATAATCTCTCTGATTTGTTTTTATAATGGAATTTTACAGCCAATTATGAAGAAAAAAGTCAGTAATATCTAAGAAAATTCCATATTAGTAATAGTTTCACTTGCACATAAAAGTTCTGAAAATACCGTAGCCCTTTGATCAAAGAACGGTTGAAAGCATCTATCCTGTTCCACCCTCTTTCTGGACTCCTGGTGGTGAACCTATGGCACACATGCAGCAGCAGGATGTTTGTATCATTGAAAGCTCTAAAAGGTTTGCCATTGCTGCACTATCGATTTAGCAACAGTGAAAAGTAGGGTGCAAACACTCTTCTAAGTTGAAGCAGTGATCTAAGACTCTCATTTTCTTCTCCCTTTTTATTTCCTGACTGTTCATCCTGCTTCTTCCTCGCACTGGCTGTGAAATGTTGGCTCTGCTACTCTCATCTTAGCCTCCTTTGGCCCCTTTTATCCTTTGTACACTTCTCTCTATTATATAAACTTTGACCTGGCTGCCTTTAGGAAAGTTATCTGAATTTACTTATTGAATTCAAATCCACCCTTCTAGACTTAGATTTGTAGGAATTATTCACCTTAGACTTGGCCAAACAAGAGCCAACTGTTTCTACAGTCATCACACAACAAGCTCAGTCATTCTTAAATGGTGATAAATTTTCAACTAAAGTATTTAAAAAACACTGACACATTTCTGACTTTGGAATCTTTATTGCATCTCCATTTTGTAAAACACTTTAGTGCAAAACAGAGTGCGAGAGGGTAGAGAGTCTCATTTATGAGAACATGAATGTAACTTTCAGCTCTTCCACAAACCCTGCTATCTCCTTCCCTTTATGCCTTCAGTTGAGTGCTCTATTTCAGATTCAGGAAGTGGCATTCTCCCAGAGTGTGGATGGGCAAAATAAGGTGACAGAGGAAGACCAAACACTAGGGGAGGAGCAAAAGAAATACGCATCTTGAGAACTCCATTGAAACTCAGAGGTTGAGGAGATATGAAGCAATGAACATTGGAGCCAAGTAATCCCAGAGCACAGGAAGACAAAGGGACAGGCCTTGGCCAATTATCCACAGGATGCTCTGGGCCTCTTTGTGGGAAAAAAAAGATCAGCCAGCCTTCTGTTGTAGCCTATTCTAGTATTTCCTGGAGGCATCACTATTGCTGTTCCTGATCTAAGGGTGGGAAGGCATGCAGGAGCTCTTATTTGTAGGCCTTTAGGTGGAAAGAGTATTAGGCCTCTTGGCAAAGCCATATATGACCTTGTATTATTGCCACCCCTCTCAGAAGCCCATTTGCTGACTCGTGTGCCCCTACCATCAGTGACAGAGGACTGCAAGATACTGCCTGGGATACACTAATAGAATCCTGACCCTTCTGCCTATGGTCTGCCAGAACTTCAAAGTTATTTACTTCTGCTCTCGCTAGGAAATCTTTGATGACAGCAGTTGGCAGCCCACAGAGATATCTGAGAGCTCGTAAACTACCCAGAATGTGGGATCCTGTTTTCTCAGATGGTCGATTCAGTTGGTCTCCTTGCACAGCTGTCAACAGATTGAAGGGAGGTCTCAGTATGTGATGAAGGTAGCCCCAAAACATTGCATCATCCTTATCATTTTTTTGGAATGGAGTTCAGAAACTGGAGGGGAACATCATGCTGCAGATTCCTGGTCCTGTTTTTGTTCATAGCTGCCATTATGTATGAAGGGCCATGTTCTGCAAGACTTGTAAAAAAAAGAAATAAAAGTTACTAAAAATGTACATGTAGTGACCAAAAAATACCCGAAATATGTAATTGACTAAACTCACTGACATAGGTAAAAAGAGAATACTCTCTCTCCTCCTACACATAGGAAAAATACTTATTTTGTCCCATAACCCTTTCACATGAAATCCCCTATTAGCCCCGTACTATATATTTTCCCACTATAGCAACCTTGTGGCCCTGCTCCATTTTCCTATCTCTCCGAGGTAGAAAAAATGTGTAAATGACCGACATATAGTCGGTCATATGTCATATGTCATAGTAGACATATGATAGAAAATCCTGCTCTTTCATGACCACGTGTTTATTTGTGACCTATTAAGCCTACTGTTCACATTCTATTAGATTGTCCTGGAATTTCTTCTGAGAAGAAACACTTTGTTTTCTCCACAGAAGTCAAAGAAACTTTAAGTATGCTAATAAACACTGTTGTTCCTCTCTGTGAAGCAACAAATATGACAATTTCCATTAAATTTCCTTGTCATTTAACCCCGATCCTATCCTAGAATAAAAATGTTCTTATGCTTAAAATCCCACTGTTTAGAATAGGAATTCGTACTTTTGTTTCAAAATTATGTTTAAATACTTTTTAAAATCTTCACTCTCAAGTTCAGTACTCTTAACATCTAAATTTATGTCCTTCTAGTTTTTACCTGTGCCCTGTCCCTCACCCACTGCAACCTACTTGTCCATGTCTTAGTTACACAGTAAAGGAATTCATATTGCCTTGAAAATTAAACAATTTTACTCAATTATTTACTTACACATTTTCAATACAAGCTATGGAGAAATATGATCAGGATCGTCTTCATAAGGTGGTATAGAAATTGAGCTGAATGTCTCCACAAGACAACTCAGTCAGGAGAATTGATTTCCACTTCTGCCTTAGAGAAACTTGGCAACTTGAATGAAACCAGGAACCAAATGCTTAGAAGTCTTAGAATTCTGTTACTGAGGTAACCAGTTGCTAGGCAAGGGAGGGACAAAAGGAGCAGGAAAGGCGAAAGGAATAAACTTGAGATACCCCTTTGAAGCTAAATGTGGGACTATTTTTTCCACAGTAGTAGATGGATAGTAAAGGCATTTACTACATTATTTCTGATGCTCATCAGTTGGAAAGAGATATCATTTCAAAAAGGGTTTAGAGCAATCATGAAAGCATGATATGTTGTTACTTCTGAAGTTTTAGTCATAAAAGTTAGTTATCCAGTCTCTTCCTTGAATTTAGAACATAATCCTTGAGCACTGTACTATGCTTTATCTTGTAATTGAAACTTCCAATTTGGGGATGCATACTATTAACTTAGTGGAGAACAGAGGTTTGGGAGGTTAAATTGTTTTTCAAACTGTGAAAATAAAATAAAAATAGCAATATAAAAATTCACTGTAAGGATTATCTTTTCCATTCAATTTGCAGTTCTTTCCTTTTACCCTAATTTCAATTTATCAGCTGTGTGTGTGTGTGTGTGTGTGTGTGTGTATGCGCGTGTGTGCATGTATGTGTGTTTCCTTGTTTCCTGAAATAGAGTGATAGAAATTATTATCTAAGTAGAAAGGGGGAATAAGAGTTGTAAGTATAATAAATTTATGAATATTGGCTCACATTTTGCCCTGCAGCTTTTCTTTTCACAAGAGGCTTTCAGTTCTTCCAGCCTAAATTATATCCACCTTTCCCATTTTAAGCAAGTGTACATTCACAATTATTATTCCCTGTCATCGATCTACAGATTGATTGCTTTAAAATTACAATGGTCATCCCCTCATCTAAGATTGCTAAAATTTTTGCAGAATATAGCCATAAACTTGGTTCATTTCCTTACATTTACCTAAGGTCTGTGCTGTAAAAACTAGACCTTGAATATTGTCTTTTTTATTCTTAACTGTATATGGTTTTACAACTCAATAGTGAGTATATTTCTTTTTTCTTTCTTAAAGATACCATATTCAAACATCATGCATTTCAATTTATAGGTAAATGGCATGAAGGGGTGGAGAGAAAAAGAGGAGGAAGGAGAATAATGTATAAATTCAGTGTACTGGGGCAAAGGAATGGCCACAGCTGTGAAGCAACACTACTCATGATGGTAATAGGCTTTGGGGTCTCTAAGTCAGCATCTTCCTACCAGGGTGCCTTGTCTATCTCTATATAGGCTATTGAATGTTTGTATCTCATTGAAAGATGAAGATGGCCTCTTTCCAACATGTTTCCCAGAGCCATTCACTCTTTTACTATTAAGAAATATCTTGATTCTCCAGCTTCAGTTTTTATTCTTGCTTCAGTTTATTATGCTCCTGTCCTTAAGTACAAGACTTATTCTTAGAAACATAATTGTGATGGAGTTTTAAAACCATTTGAGCACTTGGTATATTAGAGGAAAACATGCAACTGCAGTTAATGCTTACTAGTATTTGGTAAGTCATATTCACATAAATAGTTTTCGTATGAGAGGCTGCATTGTTTTGCCTGAGTAATGACAATAAAAGCTCAGGAAATAATTTGATGCTTATTACATGATTGAAATAATAATCTATTTTTACTTAGAAATACGTGTTTAGTAAGATGTCACCTTAATATTGTTACATAAGGGTGAAATGTAATATAGGGACCAAATGCTTAAGAACAGCGACAAAACCCATGTCTCCTAAAATTTCTTGAAAGCCATGGTGCACATTATGAATTTCCAGATAGCACCTCAGATTCTTTTTTCTAATTTCTTTGTTATTTTACAGACAGTACATATTTACTGAATGCCTATTCCATATATTCACTAGTATGTTAAATGTGGATTCTAGCAAAAAAGTTAATACTTGACCTCAAGTAATATTCAAAATTTCTAGAGAAACAAAATGATATTATCTATAAAATAATTGAAGAGTAGCGTAGAAAAGAATAGTCATAGGCCATTACTGTCAGGGAATAAGCTATGAAAACAATGAAAATTGACAAGGAACTATAGTGAGTTAAAATAATTGAACATATTTCATGTGAAGTTAGATCTTCAATTATGATCTGAAGGAAGATATATATGGACAGAGCAAGAGATGTCATTCTGGGCCAAAAGAAAATAATAAGGGTAGGAATAAAGAGAAAATGAAATTTTGTAGTTCAGAGTTTTAATCCTAACTACTGCTCATATTTGTCAGAAAAAGAAATATAAAAAGACATTTGGACCTTCTAGAGACAGAAATCAATCAGATAATGAGTAATATTTTACTCATCAGGGAATATTTGAAAGCACTAAAGTTTTAAAGCTAAAGATGAAACTAGAATCACCTTAGAACTTACTTTTACACAAAAAAAGCTGTCAAGCTAATTCAGCTTCTCATTGAGCTACTCATAAAATTTATACCTTTTTGTTTTGTTCATCTGAATAACTGCTTTGGGAAAAAGAAAATGTGTAATGGAGGTTGAAGACTTGCCAAAAAGTAGCTTAGTTGTTTAAACAGCTAAGCTATAAGGGCCATTTATTACCAGTGGCCTCTTATTTTGTGTCATATCTTCATATATTACTGAATATTCTCTCCAAAGATATTGAGAACTATACTGATACGCTAAGTGATGACCATTCAAGGATATATTTACTTTTGCATAGCAATTGAGAGTATTAGAAATGTGGTGGTTCTGTCAATGTCATGTGGATGTTTTTCCAAAGAAATTTTGCAGATGTGTAACTGAAGAAAAACTGACATTTGAAATATGTCTTTTCTCGTTTAGTTAGTAAAAGAATTCAGGAGATAGAAGGTAGGGATAAATTTCTCTATTTCCATTTAAACTAATAAGGGGGTGACAAAGAGATTGTCATCTTGATCTCTGGGGACATGCTTGTTAAAAAATGTCCTATTCATTAACTCACCTTCAAAATGTAGCCGTGCATGTAGAAAATTGTCTAAATTTAAGATATCTAAAAAGTACTTCTAGAAAATAGAACAGGTATTTTTAGAAGTCCGTGACCACCTAATTCAGTGTATTAAAACATGTGATTTATGAAAGCATTACATTAACCCAGAATGGGCCAGGCAGTATTATTCTGTTGTACAACCATAGGCAATAGTCCTGTCCTCTCTGTTGGGACTTGTCCTGCAGGGTGTGATAAGTGATAAACATGAATGTTTGAGAATGTGGCCATTTCTCAACCACCAGTAATGGCAAAGACAACTTATACCCCTTACTGCTTGACATGAAGTTCAATAGACTATTATTGCTTTTCTTGAGTGTGTTGCTTCATATACATAAATATATGTTCATATTGTTTATTCATTTAAGTCAAAATAACATGACAATAAATCCAAAATAGGTGATTTCATTATTCAAATCAGAAACTGTCAGAAGTTCTTTCAAGATATATTGCTTAAAGTTTTCTTTTTCTCCTGAGAGTTTGAATTTTAAATTAAGTAGCAGTGGGATTAGTCATATGAGACAAAAAATAAGAAAAAAACAACAAGATTTTGACCATGTACCATGCGTCAGACATTTGATACATAACATTTTATTTAATGATCACAGCAAGCCTTTAAGGGAGTTATTACTATACCTATTTTATAGAAAAAAAAGAGTTGGAGAAATTAAGTAATAATTTGTTTTCCACGGTGGTATAGCTAGTGAGTGGCAGGCAATATTCACAGACAGACTGAAACCATATTTTCTTACATTTACACACATAGCATCCTTGTTATAGTTCCAGGTCAATTACATAAGTGGCTCAGAACAAAACGTGTATGTAACAAATCCTAATTTACATTATTTAATGTATAGAATCATTGATATCATGGTATGAGGAAGTTTTGTAAGGAAGAAATCATCCAATGTCTAATGCTCAGATCTCAGAAGGCCTTCCCATGCAGGGAAGCAGAAAGTGATTAAAGCCTTAGATATAGGTTGGTGGTCTAGTAAGAGGTATGGAGTTAAATGCTGTCATGGAGCAGCTGAGTTGGTGATGTGTGAAATAGCATCAACTGGT